AAGGAAGGAAGGAAGGAAGGAAGGAAGGAAGGAAGGAAGGAAGGAAGGAAGAAAGGAAGAAAGAAAGAAAATGGAGCACATCGAGTAAAACATCCATGGTGATCTCTGGCCTCTGCGCATGCATAGACATGTGGAGACACACACACACTACATTTTCGATCTATATTTGAATTTGATAACTTGAAACCTGAAGAGAACAGAGGGCTGACACTTGTCCACTGAACTGTACAGCAACCACAAAGAGATTCATGAAAGAAAGAAGGGGGGGAAAGTCCAGTTTATATAAGCATGATGGACAGGAACACACAGTGTGAAAAGACCCACCTGTAGACAGTGTGGAATCAAGAAATGGAAACAACAAGGGGAGGCTGGCTGAGAACAACCAACTCCGGATCTAAGGGGTGGGTGCTTTAGGTCAGGATAGTGCTAGTATGAAAAGTTTTAGACATCAGAGGCACATGTAGAATATAATCTTTTTGATGGAAAATGGGATGCACATACCCAATAATGATGAAATAGAGAAATAAAGGTATAGGGACCTCATGGAAGTTACCTAGAAACCCCAGGGTGTAGGATGGTGGGGTGGGACTGCTGGAAATAAAAGAATACCTACCAAAGAAATGGGAGTGTTGTTCCATGGCCAGTGAAGGAGAGAGAAGGAAAAGGAAGACTGAGATATCAAAAGTTTTCCCAATGTTTCCCGCCTTAGTGCCACTGATAAGAAAGAAAATCTAAGAAAGAAGTCAGCAAGAACTGTGTTAGGTTTCCATCATTAAATTTTATGTGAAAGTTAACCTTGGAGGCAAATTTTTCAGGACTTTCTTAGAGCTATGTTTCTAAAATTCAGGGTAGCATTTTTTGTTTGTTTGTTTGTTTTAATAACATTGTATGTATTCTTGGAAACTTTTACACATGAATACAATGTGTTTTTTATAACCCACTGAGTCTAGTTAGTGCTGTTCATATGTGCGCAGATGTGGGGCCTTCCCCTGGGGCATGGGCAGTGTGCCATTGACACCCCTGAAAAAAACTGACCCTCACCCAGCAGCCAGTAGGCCAATAGCGCCTCCTGAGGTGACAGGGTAGTGTTCTGAATGTTATGCCCAGATCTCGGGGACCCCCAAAAGACCACCACGGAGACTGAATCCCATATGTAAAAGCAAAGAGCCTTTATTTTCAAGCTCTGAGCATGATCCCTCTGTCCACTGGGATGAGAGCAGAGGGCCCTGAACCCAAGTGGAGTAGAGTTTTTATCATAGCAGTGGTTGGGGTGAGGGGATCTCCAGGGTTCAGGACCCTGATTGGCTGACATTTGTCTAGGAGTATCTGTAAAACAAAAATAGGTGTGTGCTAGATTCCTGGACATCTAGCCACCTTATCTAATGGTTGGAATGTTTGGGATGTCAGGTACTTCCCCTTGGATGTAGGCCCTCCCTGGGTGGGGTTAGCTTATAGCTTTTCATGGCTCTAATTGTTGCCTGCCAATAAGCCTGTCACAGAAGCTGTGTCTGGGCCTCTAAGCCTGTCATAGCAGCTGTGTGGTCAAGCTGTTTTGGGGCTCCTCTATACTGAACTGAGCTCCTGCACTAGGCCCCAATGGACCAACTAAAAATCAAGATGGAGTCACTGATGGGTTCACAACACGCCCCCACGGTTGGGCGTGTTTGTACATGCCCGGCGGACCTAGACACTTCTGCCTAGCCAGTTCCATGTCAAAATAGCCATTTCCGGGTCAAGGCGTCTTGCGTGACCAGGATCCGTGACTTTGCATGGTTGCATAAGAGCATGCAATGCAACCATGTGATCTGTGCAGGTGTGGAGTAGTTATGTCAACCTGTGTATGCATGTACGCCACCCAGCCTTTATAAGCCGACGCCATATTCCCGGCTTCTTCTTTTCTTCTTCTTCTTCTTCTCCTCCTCCTCCTCCTCCTCCTCCTCCTCCTCCTCCTCCTCCTTCTTCTTCTTCTTCTCTACACATGTGTCTTTCCCATAGGCCTGGGTACTCGTCTGTCCCTTTTATCTTAATAAAACTCTTGTTAGTGGATTCTGTCATGTTTCGTGACATTTCTTCGCAGGGTAAGAGCGCCGCAAAATAACTAACAGTCACTCCTGCAGAAATTGCATGCCCTAAACAGAATTCGACAGTGTGAGGAGCCCAGATCAGAGGACAGCCAGCTTCTCAGCAGGCCAGCTTGACTCAGCATGATCAGGAAGTTTCCTTGCCCTAATCCTTACATAAAAACTTAGCCCAAAGTGGCCCAGGGTCTG